AAAATCAGATTGTACGTGATGGAGAGGATGTACAATCAAAAGATTAAGGGCATAAGTGGGACATGGAAATCTGCCCCTCTATTAAAAGAGGATTGAGAAGATGAAAGAAGAACAAAGGTATATTATTTAATTGTAAGTGATTTAATATGAAATAACTTACCTTCTTAATATGATTTCAGGTACTGGGATGTTATTCCAAGTGGCGAGGAAGAATATGAAGTGAAATTAGCCCATGAAGTTTATGTTGTTCACCTTGAAAGCAAAACTTGTGGCTGCAGAGCCTGGCAACTCAGTGGTATCCCTTGTGTGCATGCCATTGCTGCTATATTATACCTGAATGGAAATGCAGAGGACTATGTAGCCGTATGGTTTAAAACAAGCATGTTTGGAAGTTGCTATAGGTATCCAGTCAAACCAATAAATGGAGCTAACATGTGGCCTGATGTTCTATTTGATCCCATATTACCACCTCGGCGTAGGAGAATGCCAGGAAGGCCCAAAGTAAACAGAATGAAATGTCCTACAGAAAATGAAGGAAAGCATAAAATTAACAAGACAGGGATGTCCATCTCAAGATGTAGTAATTGTCATCAAGAAGACACAACAAGAGGCGATGTCCATTGCTCAAAGAAGGTTCGTTTTTATTTTGATTATTCATTCATCTACATTTGTATAATAATATATTATTTTTGTTTTAACAATGCAGCAAATAAAGCAACTGTTAGTGAAGGGGATGTTGAAGAAGGGATTAGTGAAGGGGATGTTGAAGAAGGGATTAGTCAAGATGGGATTAGTGAAGATGGGGTCAATGAAGATAGGCAATGAAGATGGGGTTAGTGAAGTTGGAATTGGTGAAGAAGAGGCTGTTGAAGAAGGCGATATTGAAGACCACCAGGAGGATGAAATTGAACAACAAGAGGATGAGATTGACCATCAAGAAAATCATCACCATCAGCATCAACCTGTTTTTTTCAGCATTTTGTTGCGAACAAAAGGCGATTACCTTCTGAGAGGATCACGAAACTGAAGTTAAGGAAGAAGGTGGTAACAAAAGATGGAAGTGGGGAAAGTACTGAAAATCCAGTTACTATAAACTAGGATAAGTGTGTTCTATTAGGATTATGTCAGATACTTTGAAATGGCACATCTTTTGGTGCTTAGTGCACATCTTTTGGTGCTTAGGCTTGTCTTTTTGATGCTTAGGCTTATCTTTTGGTGTTGTGCACATTTACCAACATTTAGTGCCATGTGCACATGCTTGATTATGTGGTTTAATTATGCTTTCATATGTAGTTTATTACCTTTTATGCATATTATAACAATGTACCATTTTGCCCCTATTTGTTAAAACTATGTTAAAATTGGTAAAAACTGTTTTGTGGGACTATTTTGTCAATAAAATTGCCCTTGTGTTTAAAAACCATTTACAACACAAATTACATGCATAATGTCAAACACAGGTTTTATGGACTATTTTGCCCTTCCTATTATCATTTGATAAAGTGTAATCTTATTATGGACTATTTTGCCCTTGCTATTTTCAATCAATAAAAAGTATGTTGCTATTATGTGTGTTTTCAATAAAACTGCCCTTGTGTTTAAAAATCATTTACAACACAAATTACATGCATAATGTCAAACACATGTTTTATGGACTATTTTGTCCCTGTTATTATCATTTGATAAAGTGCACAGGTTTTATGGACTATTTTGCCCTTCCTATTCTCAATCAATAAAAAGTATGTTACTTTTATGGACTATTAGCCTTCATAAACACCTTCTATGTGTATCAGTCTTCACAAATACCTTCTTTTCATTCCCACTTCGTAACCATTTTACATGAGTACAATGCAACCACTTTGAATATACATATCCTGATAATTTCAAAGTACATTTTCCTTACATAATAAACTTAACACTAAATCATGTACTTCACTACAAACAAAACAACAAACATCAACACTAAACATTTCATTTTATCCAATTCCTTTCTAAAACTCTTACATTCCTTATCAATCTTCATCTTATACTCACTGAAATCATGTTCCAATATTGCAATCTTCACTTCAGTATTGAAATCATGTTCTTCATCTTTCTTATTCTCGTTCTTGGTTATAATTTCTTCATCATCATCAACCCATTCCCAGAAATCACATTTATCCTTTGGATCCTTCATCTTCAATTATAACATAAACAAACAATATTGTAGCATGAAAAACAAAAAGGGACCCAAACAAGAACAAGCTTTTAGATATATACTTACCAAAGAGTTAGGCAAACCCTAAATTTTTTACCAGGATTTGCCTTTGTTGTTGATATCCAGATGCGAGAAGGAAACCCACAATCACAAGGATGTGCCTTATCAATTGTCCTTTTTGACTTGGAAATTTTTGATCTTGACCATGAGTTGGAGGATCGAGACGAAGAAGCCATGTTGAAGAAGTCGATTGAAGAAGTCGATTGATTAAGGAGTCGTATCCCCCGAAGCCATGTTGAAGAAGTCGATTGAAGAAGTCGATTGATTAAGGAGTCGTATCCCCCATTATGCCCTATATCTATCTAACACAAATGCCACGTAGCCAACCATATGCCAACTCAACAACACATATGCCAACTCATCGTTTACCTGCAACATGCCGGTCACCATTAAAAAATGTTATTTATATTCGTAACTTTATTTGGATTTATAATAAAAAACATAAGTTCGTTGGTTTTTTTTGAACAACAAAAACGTAATTGGGGTAATATGAACGTTTTTGAAACTTAATTGGTCTTTTAAGGCATTTTCCCTTTATTAAAATCATATAATTTTGACAAAGAAGATCATTTTTGCAATTTTAAGAAGTTTTTTCAGAATAAAAAAAGATTAAGGCCGGAACTTGACGGGTATTTTTAATAAAAGAAATAAAGTTGGTTACTAAACGACGAACTACCTCACACAAACCATTTTTACGTATATTACTCTAAATAAATACCACAAACGTGTTCCTAGTTTTAAATATATATTCCAAATAATAATTGAATATACTATATATCGAGAATTTGAATTACCAAAAAAGGAGGTTTATAATTTCTTTCTTTTTTTGTTTGCCTATAAAATAGTTAGATATATAGTTGTAGTTTTGCATTCAAATAAAAAACAAGGAGAAAGCTTCCATGGATTTTATTCTAAAGAAACCACATGCGTTGTGCATACCAACCCCATTTCAAGGGCATATTAACCCAATGCTAAAACTTGCTAAAATCCTCCACTCCAGAGGGTTTCATATTACCTTCGTTAACACTGAGTTCTACCATCAACGACTCCTTCAATCTCAGGGATCCGACGCCCTAAATGGCCTCCCTTCTTTCTGCTTTGAAGCCATTCCAGATGGCCTTCCGCCAGCAGAAAACCCTGTTGCCACCCCAGATGTTCTATCCTTTTGCATGTCCGTTGATGAAATTTGTTTGGGTCCTTTAAAAAGCCTCCTTACCAAACTGAATGCTTCATCTCCACCGGTCACTTGCATGGTTGCTGACATATTAATGGGCTTCACCCACGATGCAGCCAGAGAATTTGATATCCCCGAGATAGTTCTATGGACGAGCGATGTTGGTTCTCTAATGTGTCTTCATGAGTATCCGAATCTTTTGGAGAGAGATTTGGTTCCACGTAAAGGTAATAGTATATATATATATATATATATATATATATATATATATATATATATATATATATATATATATATATATATATATATATACTCTCAGTTTCTTTAGGACATGAAATATATGTATACACTGTACGTAGTTGCTTATTTCAAGGTGATTTTATCATTTATTTTCTACAGATTCGAGTTTTTTATCAAATGAGTATTTAAATACCACGATTGATTGTATACCAACTATGCCTGGTCTGCGTCTAAAAGACCTGCCTTCATTCACTAGAAGGACCAGCCCTGGTGATGAATACATGCTTCAATATTTGCGTTTACAAACAGAGAGAGCGAAAAGCGCTTCCGCCATCATCTTCAATACCTTTCATGAACTAGACGGTGATCTTTTGGACACACTTTCTTCAGTCTTTGCTCCCTGCTATGCTGTTGGTCCTTTTCACTTACTAGAGAAGGAAATTGATGAACCATTACCGATCGTCAAATCAAGTCTTTGGAAGGAAGATAACAACTGTTTGAAGTGGCTAGAATCTAAACCACCATCTTCAGTTATTTATGTGAATTTCGGTAGCATTACAGTGATAACACATCAACATCTACTTGAGTTTTGTTGGGGACTTGCAAATAGCAATTATCCGTTCTTATGGATAATACGTCCGGACCTGGTGATTGGCCAATCTGCAGTACAGCTTCCATCAGAGTTTTTGGAAGAGACAAGCAGTAGAGGGCTGTTGGCTAGTTGGTGCCCACAAGAACAAGTTCTAAATCACCCAGCAATTGGAGGGTTTTTAACACATAGTGGATGGAATTCAACAATTGAAAGTATTTCCAGTGGAGTCCCAATGATTTGTTGTCCATTTTCAGGTGACCAACAAACCAATTGCTGGTCGTGTTGTAACAGGTGGGGGGTTGGCATGGAGATTGACAATGATGTAAAGAGAGAAGAAGTTGCCAAGCTAGTCATTGAGTTGATGAATGGAAAAAAAGGGAAAGAGATGAGGAAGAATGCAACAGAATTGAATAACAAGGCCGAAAAAGCATGTGCATCTCCTTTTGGTTCATCCACTGTTAATTTGGAGAAAGTGATTCAGCTGCTATAAGCAACTCCAAATAAATAATTATCTGTTTAAGATGCATGTGCGTTTATGATCATATTCTGCTAAGTACCGTTTGTTTGCTCAAAATAATCGATGTTTTATCGTTGATGTAGTTTCATTCTCTCCTTAATATATTAATCTTCATGCGACATCATCTTATTAAATATCTATACAACTTTATTTTTACCGCCGGCACACTACTAGAAAAAGGTTAATAGAGTCCAGTTGAAATTATAAATATAGTACGTATATAGAGGGCGTATTAGTAGAGGGGTGTATTAGATTACAAACATAATAGAGTACTACTTTTTACAACCATAGCATACAATCATCTAATACCCCATATATACACATCTAATACACCAATAAATAACCATACTTGATGTCTCACATCCCCATTCCTTTCCACCATTCATGATTGCATTCCAGCCTTATTAATCAGCCAATTCCATTCCATGAATGATGTAGAATACATGGATCACCATTCCAAATGAAACAAACTCTTCAGTTTCTACAAAGCTTTTACCATGTGAATTGTAACTGAATGATCAATCTCCACAAAATACAAACCTACTATATGATTCCATTCCAACCATAAGAAGTGGGACATCACTGATCATCTTTTCATTTTAAGAAACAGAAATATATATATATATATATATATATATATATATATATATATATATATATATATATATATATATATATACACACACACACACATACAATGAACCACTTAGTTTATTAAACATAAAAACATTAATATTCTTTCAGACTACAATCTATACAATCTAAAAGACTATCATTTGTATACCTAGTTAATTAAACATAAAAATATTCTTAAATTTGTTAATGTCACAACTTTGACCTCTCTTTCCCCTTTGTAACTGATTCATAGTATGCCTACAAAAACATGAAAACTTAGGATTCAAATCTATAAAGTATCGATATCTTCACTTAGCATATTAAATCATGATTTATATATTAAGTAAAAAAGAAACATTCATATATCTGAATCTATTAAGTTTGGTTCAAGTTAAATCCATTCTAAAAAAGAAACTCCATTTCTATCCACCTTGAGGACAAGGGTTTAGATAAGGGTAATGTGGGAAATCAGCAAAATAAAAGAGCATCTTCTTAGTGAAGGGGTAATTTAGATATTTTACCTTGTTTTAGTTTGTTGCACGCAGTACTTATAGCGGGTACATTTTGACTACTAATCGGTACATTGAAGCTGTTATTGATTTGTTCCTGTTTTTCTGATTTGAACTTATTAGTCAGCTTATAGCATAGAATGTTAATATGATTTACCACAGGAAAATAACAAATGCAAAGGGGAGAGAAGTTGTCTAATTTGAAGGAGTTATTGTGCTAGCTAAACTTGCAAAACAAAGTTCTCATATCAAAGATGTCCTCGAGGAATCCGTGAAGACGGAATTAAACTAGACTAGCCAGCATTTCCCAATCCTTCCTTCTGAAATATGGTAACTCAAGAATCGGAAACGGTGAATAACTATAGTTGTTTCTATAGAATATAGAAAACATATAACCATAGAATGAGGAGATATTGTAAAATCATAAGTGTGAAACAGTAGAATCTAAGAAATAGGCCATGGAATGTAACCACAAACATATAATAAGAAATAGGTATGGCTATTAATCCTAAACATATAATAAGAAATAGAAATTGTACATGCATTACAATATATGGGTACATTGTTTGACCTTTTACAGATAGGAGGGTCCAGAGTGAGTGAAAACCACAAACGTGTGAGGTAGGTTAGACTGCATCAGCAAAGAGGGTAAAACAACTTTTTGTCTTGTGTAAAGGAGACCAAACAAGAACCTTAGGCAAGACAAGAACATGGACTAGGATGTTGTATTGAATTTTGAAATCAGTGGCTTACCCTTCAAGCCTTAAAAAGGAAAGATGAAGTTCAACATTGTATCGACCCCTGTAATACAAAGATACTCCCATTATAGTGCTTGATAAACAAGATAAAAGCCTATTATGACACTTGACACATGGAATAGAGGCAATACCTTGGTGTAAGAATCGTAATGATTTCAAAAGTGACAACAACTTCTTCACCTCCATCCCCATCATCTGCCATGGACATTATTTTATCTACGAAAATCTTATAAAATGTAAAAATTTATAAAATATATAAAATGGAACTCCAAATGCAGCCATTAACAAACTAACAAAACCAACTAACATTACATTGTTAATGAGGCATCCATGGCATTAATGAAGAAGCCAAAATATAAATTGAATCAACTATGTCATCTTGTTGGCATTCACGTCTGTAATCCAAAGTAATAGCTGATGTCAACGATTTCTGTTGGAATGCTCTTTTGAAAGAAAAAGTAAAAGAATGAATCAAGATTCACCAAAAATATGAACAAATTGCAAATATTGTTTCAAGTTAACCTCAAGAGCCCATCCAATGTAGTTAATAGTGTTAACATGTTTGTTCATATCATGATCAAATCACGTAGGTTTTGTGTGTGTGTGTGTGTATATATATATATATATATGTGTGTGTGTGTGTGTATGTATGTATATAGTCACCACAAGAATAGAGCTTATAACTTACCACAAGTCCTAGTCTTGAATATTCAACAGGATCTTCAAGTTTTGTTATTTTCTTCAAACTATAACTATTCTCTTCAGGAAATGCTAGTATGGAGTGGAAGCCAAAAACTCGAAACTGTAACAACATTATTATAGATGTTAACTGAAATAATATCATAAATGAAGGAAACTATACGTGAGTGTTATAGGGCAAAAAACTAAGTATTCTTCTTTGACATCATCAATGACTTTTTGTATTCTTTTAGTATCCTCATTCATCATCACCAATTTCCTGCAGACTTGATCATTTAGCTAAAAGAACAATTGAAGGAGGTAGAGAAGAAAATAAATTTAAAAAACACACACCTTTTAGCCCTTCCATTGATATCACCATTGGAATAATCTTTGAGAATCCAATCACTTCTAGTCCCTATTCTTCCATCACCTTGAACCCAAGTCTCAATTTCAATCACATCACTCCTGTTAAACATCATGCCATACAACATAAAGAAAGCTTCAAATGAAAAGAAAATGAATATAATAAGGTGAAAGTTTAGATGAAAGAGTTTGGTGATAGATTTACTAAGCAGGGTATATGTATACTTCAATATGAATTTGTAAAGTAACCCATATGAGATGCAATTTCCTCATAGTAGTTGCGGTGGCAAATCCATCAGTAGAAAACCCAACACTCTAAGCATGATTACCTCCAATCTCCTAAAAAGTAATAGAATTTTACAGGAAAGGCTAACATCAAACTAAACATGTACAAAGAAGAGGGAAATAGCAATCTCTACATATCATATGAATAGTCATGTTCAAGGAACAAGTGTGCATGGATGCTAAAACATAATAACCTTTAGGAATAGTAAACCACTAAACAATCATATATTTGCAAAATTAATTTGAAAAATCATCAACGTTTGTTGATGCACTTCAAATTGCACCTCAGCCTAATTGAATCAGAAAACAAAAGGGAAATACTAAGAACATGAACAATCATCTGGAAATTTACCTCAGAAGATATTGTTCTTTTTGATATACTCCATCGCCTAATTTGAATTTTAAAGACTTCTTAAATCCATGTAGTTGATCATGATTGAATAGGTAAGGATTAGATTTTGAATTCAGGTAAAACAATATGAATTATCTCAATCAGGCATTACATCGAACACTTTATGTGAAATTACAAACCACATTTTTTTTTACAAAATAGGAGAGAAATGAAATGATATAGCCATATCGGAGAATGATTCGCAGTATATATTTGGAAACAGATTAAAATCACACGAAGAAGGCCAATTAAAACACTAGAAAATCTCAAATACAAAAAAATCGATAGAGGAACAAATCGAAAAGGAGATGAAATGTCCATGAACATTCGTACATTCTTGACAAAACTAGCAAGTAAATTGGAGGAGGAGTCCTTGGACTGAAGATGATTAGTCACGTGGTTATGGTGAGGAGATGATGAGTGAACGCTGAGAGAGGTGTTGAAGTCGTGAAAATGAAAAGAAGAGTGCTTTGGTGGTAAAATAAATAAACTAATTAATAAAAAGTAGAACACACTTGGCGCTCATTTATTTCCTAAAAAAGCAGGCGGACAAAAATAAAAAATAAAAATATAAAATCAAATTAGAGTACGGTCAAAATACACAACCGTACTCTATCATGTGTATCGTATTTGCAGTTTTCTAGTAGTGGCAACACATTAAACATATGTTAAATCCTAATAATCATTTTAATTTAACATTTGAATAATCATTTTAAATCCTAATAATCATTTTAATTGATCATTTGAATAATCATTCAGCTTCTCCAATAATTACCCACACCCTTCTTTAAACATTTACTTAATTCTAATTGTCATCTTATTTAACCCCTATATAACTTACCTTGTAGATGCCATAAGTCCCTAAGTTCATAGCCAATTTCAATTATTTGTAACTAAATAGGTCAAGAGTTGATTTTGATCATTAAGATATAGAATAGGCGTACCAAAAAAAAAACATTGGATTGTGTGGACAAATGTAATTAAAAGCAAATATAAAGGGTGGCTGGAAATTGGCAGCCTTAAACCTCTTAGCCTTTCTTTGCTTTGAGAATAGTGGTAGACCTCGAGATGTGATAATTTGGGGCTTTGGATTCTCGAGCTAATGGCCACTTTGCAAGGGCAACTCAACCATATCTTTTTCTAAGATATGCCTGCAATTCTAAAATGTCTAATATTCTCCGAACTGAATTCAATATTACTATATCTCAAATATCAGTTAGTCCATTACTAATTGATAACTAAAACGTTGTATTTATCTTCTATTATTCTATCTAAAAATGGTCATATATTTTTAGTTCGCTTAGAGCCCCCGAAACGGTTGAGCCACCCTACGTCCTTGGTTGCAACGCTCTGATGCCCACAATAGGGGGGGGGGGGGGGGGGTTAGGGTGTCATTAAATTATTCACCTTAATAGAGCCCATGATTTCTAGAAAATTGATTTAGGGAATAAGAAGTTAGAAGATTATGGCAGGTTCACTATGAGATCCCTTCATTTAGGTTGTGTTTGGCGCACTACAGCTAGCTGATAAGCTAGCATATTTTTCGAGCTTTTTTATGTTGTCGTGTTTGGTAAGCCAAAAAGTAGCTTATAAGCTAACCTTTGAAAAGCTACGTAGACTAGCTTTTTAGGAGGTTTTTTTTAATTTCCAAATACACCCCTTAATTAATTATAGAAACACATACTCTCACATGTCCTTTTATTGAATTTTATATATTTCAGCTAGTTTTACTAAACATCATTTGTTATCAGCTAGCTTTCCAGCTATCAACTAGCTTTTTATTTAACAGCTAGTTTTTCAACTATCAGCTAACAGCAAACTTTTCAGCCAATACGCCAAACATAACCTTACTCACTGATGCTAGGTTTCTAGAGCACAGTGACATATCCACTCCGCCACTCATTGGTGTAAACATGTTCCGATCAAAGTCAACTTACTCTTTTCGATAACTAGGCTCAAACGCCTTCCTAATCGATGTAACGTGGATCATAAAAGGCATTCATTTACCATCCCTAGCTTGACTCTTTTCAAATAAATTCCAAGAATCTAAGACTCATCTATTGCTATGTTGCTATGTTATCCTGGATTTTCATGCGAGTTCGTTCATTTGTGGTGCCTTATTTTTAAAGCTAATGCAGTATCTTGATGCGGGGCTGAAGATGAGAATGATTGGTCATTTAATTATGTTGGCTTATGTGCGAGTCTAGTTGGGTTGCAAAACGGAAAAGTCTTTAATGACATGGTTAACACTTACAAGAAATATATAGGTTCCTGCTCATTAAGGTGCAAGCTACGAGTTGATCAAAAATAAGATTAAAAAAGGTAATTTTATGGAGTCTAACTGGTGTACAAGTCCTAACCTATTTTAATACTTTTGTAAGTTGCTAGCCCCTCTATAGACTCATAAAAAAATTGCTTGGTATTAAAAAATTATAGAATCAGTATAAGAATTCAATATTCTATCCTTATTTACTTCTATATATTCTTCGTATTTAGTTCTTGAATTGTTGACTCCTATTACAACAAATTTCCATCCTTCCCGTTGTATTGCTTTTGTATATAATCACTTTCCTTGTACTTTGTATTTGTGTGATCGAAATAATCAATAAATAATCAAATTCTTTATGGTATAAGAGCAAGTACTACTGCTCAATTTATCAACCATAATAAAAAACTGATAAGTTCATAGCCTTTGACAAGAATGACAACAACAAAAAGAGTGAAGAGAGCGGACCTGATGTTAACTCTCCCACCAGTCTTGATTTGTCAGTTTATCCACGAAAAGTGCACATGAATGACACCTTGACGAATAACAATTATAAAAATTGGGTTCGAGAGATGGAAAATTTCTTGTTTGCCAAGATCAAGATTGGGTTCATTGACGTATCGATAATAAAACTAGAAAGGATGGAAGTAAAGTACATGAGGTGGATGTGGTGTGATCCAATAATAAAAGGGTATCTTACCACTACCATGGAAAATGTGATCCATACCAGCATCAAATATGCCACCACTGTTGTTGAGATATGGTTAGACCTCTGTGAGAGGTTTGAAAAAGAAAGTGCGTCACACACATACAAACTGAAGCAAGCAATCTCAAATACTCGGCATGATAGGTTAACTATTTTAGCATGCTACACAAAGCTTCGAGGACTATGGGATGAGACTCGGTCAGTCCTCGCTACTCTTCATTGTAGTTGTGACAAATGTGATTGTGTTTTGGGAAAATCACTTGCTAAATTGAAGGAGAAAGAAAGGTTATATGAGAGGTTATATGAGTTTCTCATGGGCTTGATAGTGAGTTCTCGATTGTGAGAACATAAATACTAGATTTGAAACCGACACCATCTCTTGGATTTTCTTATGATATTGTTGTTGAGGATGAACAACAAAGGTCCATCACTAACACCAAGAGAGCCCATGATGAAGCAAATTGGCTATCCGGATTGGTGGCAAGGAAAGAACAAACAAGATAAAGGGAAACCAAGGGTTGCTTGTATCGAGATTAAATCAAGCCCAGCTGAAGGTCTAACTTTTTTTTTGGAAAAAAAGAGTCAAATTGACTCTTGGATTGTTGATATAGTAATCACTAAACACATGACCAACAAAACTGATATTCTTGAGAATGTAATGCCTTCCATCGATGAAAATCTTGTAATCATAAATACTGCATAATCCATTTATGTCAAGGGAGGAGGAAATCACACTCTATCTAACAGGATAAAAGTGAAATATGTTTTGCACATTCCTGATTTTAATTGCAATCTTTTATCTGTTAGTAACCTTTCAAGTGATTTAAAGTGTGTTGTAACTTCCTGTCCGGATTTCTTTGTTATGCAGGACCTAACATCGAAAAGTTTATTGGAGCGGATAGATGAAAGATGACAAAACATCAAAAATGGTCCATGTGGTTTGTGAAAATCTGAAGTTTAGTCCCTAATCTTTAAAAACCTCACAAATGGTCCTTGTGGTTTCAAAACTTTTACCAAATTGTCCCTTTCGTTAACTCCGTTAGCTTTTGGCCGTTAAGTGAAGGGTATTTATGTGAATTCACTGCTACAGGGACCATTTATGAAGATTTGCCTTATTTTTTTAAAAAACAAAAAAAATATAATTATTTAATATTAAAAGGTCTCTCTCTCTCTCTTTCTCTCTCTCTCCCCCCCCCCCTCTCGTCTTCTTCCTAACCCTTTTGAATAATTCAGGGGTCAAATGAACAAGTTTACTCCCTCCTTCTTCACTTTAATGTCCTCTACCAAAACCCAAACCAGCAACATTACTTTAATCTCATCCCCCCTACTTCACTTAATCCGGTTTAGTTCAAGAATCATGGAAATTCAAAAATGAAAAGAAACCCCTAATAACCCATTTCTTGTTCATAGTCTATGATCACTAAAACATGTAATTGCAGTCATACAACTCTTGATGATGGTAAATTATGTTATAATTACAGATTACAGTAAACCCTAACATCAGCAAAATCACCGAAATCAATAGTGAAAGTAAGACCCTAACAATCAAATTGGTTAATCAAAACCAGACAAAGATATCAAATAACCTAAACAAGCAATTTGATTACTCCTTCAGTATCTCATCATCTGCCGCCAACCAACCAGAATCACAATCCCATATACAGTCCCCATCAGTATTGCTGAAATCAACCCCATTTTTTATCAACTTCAAATCTCCCAAAACAGAACTACAATCAACAAAACATCTAACCAACTACAGGTTCAATCCATAGGGTCGATACTCTCTTTATTTCTAACCAAACGTACCAGGGGCTTTACTTCTTCTTTATCCCTCCGTCCTTGATGTCCCACCATAAAAACCTGACCAAGAAAGATCTTCTGAATTAGTGTTCCTTTGTAGTAACTAGAGACAACAGTCCACATTGATTTGAAATTAGAAATAATAACAGGGAAGAGGTTGTTGTAGAGGCTAAGGATGATGTGGCCAACGGGTTCGGTATCACGAAAGAGGGCAATATCTGATCCTAGGGTTAGTCCAGATACGAAGTCAATGAATATGTAGTGAGTAATAGTGGTGCCAAGTTGTTTTTGTCGTGGCGAGGTTATGGAGAGGGAGGGGAGTGAGAGAGAAGTGGTAGTAGTAGAAATAAAGAGAAGAAAGCGATAGTGGAGGTGGAGTTTGGAGAGAGGAGCAAAAGGAGGATGATAAGGAGGTAGGGGTGATTGTGGCTGAGCACCTAATGGTGACGATGTATTTATTGATATAAAGAGAGAGAGAGAGAGAGAGAGAGAGAGCCTTTAATATTAAATAATTATATTGTTTTCCTTTTTTTAAGAAATAAGGCAAACTTTCATAAATAGTCCCTGTGACTGTGAAATGACATAAATTCCCCTTCACTTAACGGCCAAAAGCTAATGGAGTTAACGAAAAGGACTATTTGTTAAAAGTTTTGAAACCACAGGGACCATCTGTGAGGTTTTTAAAGATTAGGAACTAAATTTCAACATTTCGGAAACCACATGAACCATTTTTGAATTTTTGTCATCAAAGAATGGTCTATATCAAATGGAAATGCTGGGAATGAAGAGAAAGGCTTTGATGTCGAAAAGTGATATATGACGCAAGAGGATAGGGTATGCTGGTGAAAAAAAAAAGTTTAACAAGATAAGTTTTCTTAGAAACATTTCTTTCTAAATCTTGTTCTAAATCTAATCTTACTAGACAACCTTTTCCTTTTAGTATTACAAAGACAAACGCTTGTTTTGATTTATTGCATTGTGAAATATAGGGTACATATCGAACCCCTTTGTTTTCAAAGGTAAACTACTTTTGAACAATTGTCGATGATTTTAGGAGAGTTGTTTGGGTTCTTATTCTTAAACACAAACATGAGGCAGTGCATGCTTGATTGATTTTTATAAGATGGTCAAAACTTAATTTCATAAGAATGTTAAATGAATAAGGTGTAACAATAGTGGTGAATTGACATTGAATAAGACGGTGAGTTATTATTATTGGATTAGTGTCTAAGTCCATAACTATTTTGGTATGTACTTGACCCGATGGTGCATGGTCCTTTTGGGTTGCCTTCACCAAAGCAACTTGATAGGATTAATTATGGAGAGAGAAGAGTAATTATGATTTATTAATATATTATGAGAATAATATATATTAAAGGAGAAATCATATTGTTTAATTAATATTAGTCAATAATTAATAAGAATTAATTTTGTGGCTAAAAGAGATTAATTAAATAAAGGGGACTAGAACTGTCAATTGTGTGATAGTTGGATATTAGGCTAATGGACTCCATAGAGGATGGAGTGGACGAATTCTATGGAGAAACCCATTAGAAATCGTCCAAGGCCTTTAAGGAGGGAGTCCATGGGTTGCTTAGGGCCTAAGCAATCAAATTAGGGTTTCCTTGTTAGATAACCCTAACAACCTCACTATTTAAGGACCCCCTAGGGCACCAAAAACGTGGCCAACTAATTCCTTAGGGTTTCTACACGTTTTTGGGTGCCTCCTCTCTTATCATTCTTCATCCTCTTGCTCTTGGTGTTTGTGAGCCATTAGAGGAGTGACACTTGTGACTCTAAGCTTTCTAAAGCCATTACAAAGGAGGATTTGAGATTGTTATTGCTACATAACAATCAAGGTAAGATCTAAACCCCAATATTATGTTAATATGATTAATTATATGCTAGATCTAGGGTTTATAGCTTTGGATATTCAATTGCATGTTCATTAGACAAACTAGATCCAAAAGCTATTAGGGTTTGCATGTTCACCATAGGAATGATGTTTGGCTCATAACCCATCAGTGGTATCAGACCCATGACTGTTTGTTTGATGTATTTGATGCTATTATGGATTATCCTTGCTTAAAATTCAAAATTTAGGGATTCTGGGGGCTGAACTCGCCGACTC